ACCCTCGGGCGCGTGAGGTGTGAGGTGCCCGCGTGAGGTGCCCGCGACGCGTTTGAAAAAGTTGACGACGAACCTGAGACTCGTTCGAGACAGCTGTCGTCCTGGTCGTTGTTGCAGTGATGAGTGGCACTGCGGAGGTACGTACACGTACACAGTACGTGTACACAGGGCGCTTTCGTTGAGGCAACTTACGTTCATAATGTGCTATGCGCATACACTACTCGTGTTCCGCCGCCGCGTGCTCCACGTCATCGGGCGTTCGGACTCCTTCGATGCGAAAGGATTCGTCCGACGCCGTCACGGCGCCTCTCAGCCGTTCGTTTTTTTTTCCGCGCGCGGCGCGCGGCGGACAAAAAAACGTAACAACTCGGGCGTGGAGGACGCCTGCGGCGAAGTGCTCCGCAGACCCGGGATTCATAGCGAGCGAGCGATCGACATGTTCGATCGCTTACTTCCCGGGTCAGCACTTTCGTCAGGAACTCGCGCCGGTCGCGGGATCTGACGCCTTCGTCGGCGACGTCGCTGGCGACGGCGGCGGATTCGGAAGCGTATTCTTATCGAAAACCTTCGTCTTCGGCGGCGAGTGCGAGTGCGAGTGCGAGTGCGAGTGCGCGCGACCCGCGACGAGCCCCATCTCGACGTCCACGACGCCGTGCGACTCATCCTCCGCGCGTTGCCGTTGAAGCGTCGGGGACGCGGGGAAGAACTCCCGCGCGTGGTGCGTCTTCGCGACGCACGCGTCCTTCCCTCCGAAGAAAATTCCCGCGGCGGCGCCGGCGACGCTCCCGCCGGAGCCGATCATCCCCGGGTCCTCCCCCGCGCGCTCCGTGCTCCGCGCGTTCAACACCGTCATCCCGTTGAGGATGACCACGAGCGCGGTGCCGACGTCCGCGACGACAGCCTCCCACAGCCCGGTGTACCCCATCAGGGACAGAACCAACACGATCGCCTTCGCGACGATGCTGAAGACGATGTTTTGCTTGATCTTCTTGACGCACAGACGCCCGATGGCGACAGCCTCGCCGACGCGCGAGAGGTCGTTCGTCAACAGCGCGACGTCCGCGGTCTCCATCGCGGCGGCCGCGCCGGCGACGCCCATGGCGACGCCCACGTCCGCGGCCCCGAGCGCGGGCGCGTCGTTGACGCCGTCGCCGACCATCGCGAGCGTGCCTCTCCCCGCGAACCGCCGCCGGAGCGATCCGCGCGCGTTCGCGGCGCGTTCGAGCGCCCCGACGCGCTCGACGATCTCCTCCATCTTCCGCGCCGGGGACAGACGCGCGTGAACGTTCGCCTGGTCGATCCCAACCTCGGCCGCGACCCGCTGCGCGCTGCCTTCGTTATCCCCCGTCAGCATGATGACCTCGGTGCCAAGATTTTTCAGCCGCGTCACCGCGCCCGCGGCGGTGATCCGCGTCGCGTCTTCGCATCTCAACGCGCCGGCGACGGCGCCGTCGATCCCGACCCACACCACAGTCGCGCCTTGCCTCTCCCACGACGCCACCGCGCTCGCGAGCGTGGCGTCGTCGTCGATCCACCCGCGCCTCGACGCGAGCGCGGGACCGCCGACCTCGACGAGCCTCCCGTCCACCGTCGCGGACGCGCCCTCGCCCGGGAGGGTGGTAAAGTCGCGGACGTCGCACGCCTTCGCGGCGACGCGCACCGCGGCGCCCGCGCCCGCGAGGATCGCGCTCGCGACCGGGTGCGACGCGCGGAGTTCGAGCGCGCACGCCCAGCGGAGTAACGCGCCCGCGCCGAGCGCCGGGCGAGGTGGTTTTCCGACGCCGCCGCCCGACGTCACGGGCGTCGCGAGCGTCGCCGCGGTGAGCGCGAACGCGCCCTCCGTCAGCGTGCCCGTCTTGTCCACGCAGATCACGCGCAACTTTCCGAGCCTCTCCAGGTGCGCGCTGCCTTTGACGAGCATGCCTCGGCGCGCGGCGCGTGTCAGTCCACACACCGCGACCACCGGCGTGGACAACACGAGCGCGCACGGGCACGCGACGACGAGGAGCACGCACGCGATGTACACGTACTTCGTGCTCGTCTCCCCCGCGGCGAACGGCACCGTGGCGAGTAAAATCGCGGCGAGGACGACGATCGGGGTGTAGTGCTTCGCGAACGTCTCCACGGCCCTCTCCACGTCGCTTCGCTGCGCTTGCGCTTCTTCGACCATGCGCACGAGCCGCGCCACCGCGGAATCGCCCGCGAGCGCGGTGACTTCCACTTCCAAGACGCCGCCCTGGTTGACCGTGCCGCCGTATACTTTCGACCCGATCGTCTTCTTCACAGGGACGCTCTCGCCCGTGAGCGCGGACTCGTCGACCGCGCTCCCGCCCGCGACGACGACGCCGTCCAGGGGGACCTTCTCCCCTGGTTTCACGAGCACGACCTCGCCCACGCGCACGTCCTCCGCGGCGACGGGCTCGCCCGGCTCCGCCGCTCGCGTCGCGCGCTCCGGCCGCAACGCCAACACCGCGCCCATCGCGCTCGACGCCCTCCCCATCGCGCGGTCCTCGAGCCACTCGGAGATGCCGAACAGCGCGACGACCGCGGCGGCCTCGCCGAACTCTTGCAGCGCGCACGCGCCCGCGACGGCGCACATCATCAGCGTGTTGATGTCGACGACGCCGTTGCGGAGACTCGCGATCGCTTTCCGGACGATCGGCGGCGAGCCGATCGCGACCGCGACGAGCGCGAGCCACCGCAGGTGATAGATGTCGTCGCCCTCGTCGCCCGCGTAGTGGAGCAAAGAGACGAGGAGCAGAGCGCACGCGATGAGGATCGTCCACGGCGGAAGCGGGACGTCCGCGCATTTGGATTTCTTTCCGCCGTAGTCGCGCCCGTCGCCGACGACGTTGGCGATGGACGCCTGAAGCCGCGCGCGGTTCAGCGCGTCCACGATCGACGCCGCGCTCGCGACCGACGGCGCGTGCTCCACGAGCACCGTCTTCGTGGGGACGATCACCTTGACCGCGCGCACGCCCGGTCGCTTGTCGAGGATGCCGTGAATCAGCGGAACCTCGCTCGGGCAGCAGATGCCCAACACCTTCAAGCGCGCGTGCGACGACGGCTCGTCGCCGCCCGCGTGCTCGTCGCGCACGGCGACGTGGATCGCCTCGAGATGCGACGCGAAGTCGTCCGACGACGAGCGCTTGTTTTTCTCCCCGAGCAGGGAGCTCTTCTCGCTGAGGTCGCCGCCGCGGTCGTCGTCGGCGGCGGCGAAAACGAGCGGCCGCGGCCTCGCCGCCTCCGCCTCCGCCGCCGTCGTCGTCGTCGTCTCGTCCGCTCCCGCGCGCGCTTCCTTCTCGCGCACGAGCGGCATGTACCGCCCGGCGCCGACGCCGCCGTCCGTGGACCCGAGCTTGGCGCGCGTCACGTCCACCGCGCCGTGGTCCATCAACGCCGGCGCCGCCGCGAGGAGGAACATCGCGAGGAGGAACATCGCGGTCGGGTACTTGAACACGAGCGCGTTGAACGGGGCGAGCCATCCGGGGTCGTCGCGCGGGTACGTCGTGATGCGCTTCCGCTTCCTCGGCGTGTTCGAATCGACGTAACCGCCGCTCGAGGGCGTCGAGTCCGGGGGGACGAGGAGGCCGCCGCGGTCGTCGTCGCGCATGTCGACGTCGTCGTCGTAGAAGTCTATCTAGTGATCGCCCGAGTGCATGGGTTGCGCGGGATGGGCGCCGCGAGGGGTGGGGGGGGGACGCGCGGCGAAGGACTGGGGCGATCTCGTCGCATCCAAATCTGCTCGTCTTCCCGCGCGACGAACTGCTTTCGGGGGAAACGAAAATCGGCGAAACGCCTGCGGAAGCGTCACGAAAACGCGCGTCCCCGGGACTCGCACAGCGCGCCGCACGAAGCGCGCGTGACGCCGCGGACGTCGACAGGAGTCGCGTTCGAGTCTTCACGGACGTTCGACCACTGCGCGCGGAGTCGTCGCTCGCCGCGCGACCTCGCGCGTCGCCGCCGTCGTCGTCCGCGCGACGACTCCGCGCGAATCCAAAAGTCCGGACGTCTCGGGAGGAATCTAATCTCGGGAGGAATCTCGGGACGGACGCGATGGCGACGATGACGCTGTCGCGCGAGGCGCTGTCGATCGCGCCGTGGGCGTCGAAGCTCGCGTCGGCGTTCCCCGCGCGACCCGGGGCCACGCTCCGAAACCCGGACGAGATCGAGGACGAAGTCGACCGCGAGACCGCGAGGCTGCTCGCCGCGCGCGCAGCCTCCGCGGACGCCGCGACGACGACGACGACGACGACGACGCGCTCGACCGCCGCGGCGAAGATACCGACGTTCTTCCGCCCGAAGCACGACGAGAGCTTCCTCGCGCTCGAGCTCAGGTCCGCCGCGCACAGAGTCGCGCTGCAGTACAAAGAGCGCGGCCTCCTCGAGGACGACGAGCTCGAAGATCTGTGGAACGTCATCACGTCAGTCGTCGCGCGTCGGTCGGGGGATCCCACCGCGAAAGTCGCGCCGCGCGCGACCCCGGACGGAGTCCCGCTGAGCGAAGACGACGCCGCCGCGCTCGCGACCGCGGAGAGCAGGATCGCGTACGACGAGCTGTGCGTCGTCCGAGACGTGTTCGTGAGACGGTTGAACGACGCGGAGGAGGAGGTGTACGGCTCGTACGGCGGCGGCGGCGGCGGCGGCGGCGAGAAACGCGTCGCGCATTATTTTTCCCCGCGGACGTTTAACCGCTTCGAGAGGGACGGGCTGGGGAGGATAAACGGGCGGACGTTCATGGAGTTCGTCGTCAGGCACGTCGCGCTGACGCAGTCGCGGATTAACTTGGGGTGCCACGACGCGGACGCGGACGGGTGGCTCACCGAGGACGAGCTCGAGGCGTTCGTGGGAAGGTCGGTCACGACGATGGCGGCGCTGCAGTCGCTCACCGCGGGCTTCATGAAACAATACTCGCGGATCGCGACGCGACGGTTCATGTTCTTCGACGACCCGAGGCGACGCGGAAAGGCGCGGATATCGAACCTGCTCTCCGGGGACGCGCTCGCGGACTTCAACGAGCTACACGCCGCGAGAGAGGACGACCCGAGCCTGGATAAAAATTGGTTCTCGCTCGCATCCGCGCAACGCGTGTACAAATCCTTCCTCGACTTGGACCTCGACATGAACGGGACTCTATCCAAGGCGGAGTTCAAGCGGTACACGTTCGACGTGCGCATCGCGGACGCGTGCAACGCGCAGGGCTTGACCGACGTGTTCGTGAACCGCCTGTACGAGGAGCACTCGTTGAAAGGGCCGGCGGCGGCCAAGGCGTATAGAGCGCAGTCGACGCGCGCCAACGCAGCCGCCGCGGATCCGTTCGTCGCGCAGTCGTTGGAGCGCCGGCGGAAGCAGATCGCGTCCGAGATGGACTTCACCGCGTTTCTGGACTTTGTCCTCGCGTGGAGCGATAAGAACCACCCCGCGAGCTTGGCGTACTTTTTTCGCGTGTTGGACGTGGACAAGCAAGGGTACCTGACCAACATGGAGATTTGGACGTTTTTGAAATCCGTGCACGTGACGTGGACGTCGGACCCGGAGAACTACGACCTGAACATGCTGGACGTCCGCGACGAGATCTTCGACATGGTCAAACCCGCGGTGGAGGGGAGGATCACGCTGGAGGATCTCAAGCGGTGCGGGTGCGCGCACACGGTGATTGAGATTCTGTGCGATCACACCGGGTTTTGGCGGTACGACAACCGCGAGAGTTTACCGCACGACGACGAGGAGGAGGAAGAGGAGGACGACATCGTCGAGCTCATGGACGACGACGGGATCAAGTTTTAGTCGACGGGGCGTGGTCGTTTTTGTATTCGTAGCATCGTATTCGTAGGAAGCGTCCGCGATCGTCGTTCATCATGACGCGTACAACTACAGTACTCTCGCGCGCGGCGTCGTCGTCGGCGTCGCTCACGCCGTCGCGTCGGCGGCGGCGTTCGCGACTTCCTCCTCGCTCTCCGACGTCGCGACCGCCTCCTCGACGTCGCACCGGACGTCGTCCACCGGTAAGAAGAACGGCACGCTCGGCGCGGCGAGCTTCACGATGTGATGCACGACGTCCGAGGGGAGGCTCCCGAGCGTGTGTCTCGCCGCCGAATCGTTTTCGTTTTCGTTTCTTTTCTCGTCGTCGTCGTCGTCGTCTTCGTCGTCGTCCTCGTCCCCGCTCGCGGACGAGACGGTCGCCGCCTCCGCTGGAGCGGAAGACACGCGCGTTCTAGCCCTCGTCCTCGAGGACACCGGCGCGTCCTCGACGTCCATCGCGGCGTCGTTCACGACGCTCACGCGGACGACGTCGCCGGCGTCGCCCCCCTCTCCCTCGGCGGCGGCGGCGGCCCTCTCTCGCCGCAGCCGAGCGTGCGTCATCAAAAACGCCCTCGAGACGTCGCGGAAAAACCGCGGGAACTCGCGATGCGCGTCGTGCCGCCACGCCTTACACCCCGGGCGCGTGATCCGCCGCGTCGAGTCTCCCGCTCCCGTCGTCTCTCCGTCGCCGTCGCCGTCGCCGTCGCGCTCCCGAGACGCGAAGTACACCGGGTACCCGTTCACGGCGAGGCGTCGCCGTCGAAAGCCGCCGCCGCTCGCGACGGCGTCGTCGTCCGGGACCGTCGCGAACGTCCACGGGTGCGTCTCGAACGTCTGCTGCCGGTGCGTTTCCCCCGGGGACAGCGTCTTGTACCTGACCACCTTGCCGGCGTAGTCGATCCAGTACAGCCGGCACCGCTCCCCGCACGCGTTGAGAAACGTGACGATGACGCTGTGTCGGCTCTCTCTCGACGCGAGTCCGAGCGCGGGGAGGAGCCGGTCGCGCAGCGGGTCGTGCCGCTCGGGGTCGTCGTACCGCTCGACGCCGTAGTCTGCGACGCCCGCATCGGCGTCGGCGTCGGAGTCCGCGTCGTCCATGGCGGCGCTCGCGCGGACGGCGCTCGAGCGGCGGCGGCGCGCGCGCGCGGCGAGCGCGCGAAAGCGAGAGGAGGCTACGCGTATCGCGACGCGAGCGCGTCGCAGCCCGTCGCGCGCGCCCTCGCGAGCGCTCTCGCACGCGGAGCGGAGGGCGAGGAGAAGACCCGCGACGCAGCGGCGGACGTACGCGCGCGCGATCATCCCCGCGGCGCGTGTGCCGGGAGTGGCGCGCGCGCGGACGGACGACCGTCGTGGCTTTCGCCCCTCGGCCGGGCAGAGGAAAATACGAGGGTGCGAGCTGCGTGTCATCTGCGTTTTCAGTCGAGCGTCTTTTCGGCGCGGGTATCCCTGCGGCGTCTCCCCGTCCGACCTCAGCCCGAGCTGGGGGACGCAACGGGCGCGTCGTCGCGTCGTCCGCGACTCCTACAGTACGTTCTCTCGCGTCGTGCGTTCAACGCGCCGCTACCTAGTTCTACGCTACCTCGCCGGTCCTACCCCGCCGCCGCCGCCGCCGCCGCCGCCGCCGCCGCGTCGTCGTCACCGCACGATGACGAACCCGGGGACGGACGCGTTCAACGCGATCAGCGCCGCCGGGGTCGTCCCCCACACCTGATTATGGTTCAACCGCAGCTCCCTCAGCTTCGGGATGTTCGCCAAGTTCGCGGGGACGTCGCCGTACAGAAAGTTCCTCGACAGGTCGATCGCCTCCAAGTCGAGCATCCCGCTTCCCCAGTTATCCGGCACCGTGCCCTCGAGCACGTTCCCCTGCGCGCGAAACGACCGCAGCCGCGCCAAGCCCGCGAACTCCCTCGGCACGGTCCCGTTCAGCATGTTCTTCGCGACGTGCAACTCCACGAGCGCGGCGACGCCGCCGAACTCCGTGGGTATCGGCCCCGTGAGCGCGTTGGCGCTCAGATCCAGCGTCGTCAACTTCGCGTTGTTCGCCGCAGCCGCGGGGATCGTGCCTCGCAGCCGGTTCTGCGCGAGCGAGACGTGCCGCAGCGAGCTGGAGTTCCCCAACGTCGCGGGGACCCCCCCCGTGAAGCGGTTCGCGCGCAGGTTCAGCGTCGCGAGGCGCGGCATGAGACCGATCGCCGTCGGTATCGGCCCGGTGAGAAAGTTGGACGAGAGGTCGAGCTCGACGAGCGTGTCCAGCTCCGCGATCGCGTCCAGAAGGTCGCCTCCGATGGAGCGATGCGACAGGTCGAGATGCGTGACGTCGTTCCCTTGGTAGCAGCGTATCCCGACCCACGGCTGCTTGCACGGGTAGTCGCCCTCCCAGTTGAGCAGCGCGCGGTTCGGGTCGTCGGTCATGCCGTCTCGGACGCGACGAAGGATCGACGCCTGCGCCGGGTTCGCGACCGCGTGGTCGACGTAGCCGGTGTACGGGTCGTACAGGTCCACGCGCGCGCGCGCGAGGGGTATCGTCGTCGCGAGGAGGAGGGGGAGGAGGAGGGGGAGCGCGGCGGCGCGCGCGGCCGCGCGCGCCGCGGACGCCGTGCCGCCCCCGCGCGTCATCCTCTGATGAGGGAAGCGGAAGCGGACGGGCCGCGGCGATGAACGAGATTCGTCGTATTTTCGATCGCGCGACGCCTCTGTCGCGGCAGGGTTCAGCGCGCGCCGCGCGGACGCGACCATGCAGGCGAGCTGCGTCGCGAACGGGCTGTCGTACTGCGCGGCGGACGCGTACGCGTCCTCCCGCGGCGCGTTCCTCGCCGTCCTCGCGTCGATGTGGCGCGCGCTGACGCATCAGCTCCAAAACCAATTCGTCTCGGGGTCGATATCGCTCGCGTGCGCGTCGACCGCGATGAGCGTGATGTGGCGCCTCGCGCATCACCTCAGACGTCTCGCGGAGGACAAGATATTCTCCACGTACGACATCCCGCACGGGACGCCGCAGTACTACGCCGCGCTGCGCTGGCTGCACGCGCGACCGGCGGTTCGGAGAGCGTCCAGGAGGCTCGTCGTGCCGTCCGACGCCGCGTGCGACGCCGCGGACGCGAACGCGTCGTCGTCGTCCTCCTCCTCCTCCTCCTCGCCGCACGACCCGGACGACCCGCTCGAGAGCGGGCTGCGGACCATCCCGGTGCTGCTCCGCGCGCAGCAGATCTGCGTCCGCGTCGGCGCCGCGCTCGTGTGGGTCGGACACGGCGGCGGCGGCGCAGGCGGCGGCGGCGGCGGCGGCGCGGGCGGCGCGGGCGGCGGCGGCGCGAGGCACTCGTGGTACGGCCAGTTCCTCCACGACTTCCGCGGCGGCGGCGGCGGCGGCGGCGGCGGCGGCGCGCTCGACCACTCGTCCGCCGCGTTCGGATGGGACGCCGGGCCCGACGGCGGCGCGTCGTCGCCCGCCGGCGTCGGCGGCGGCGTTCGACTGCGCGTCCTCGGCGGCGGCGGCGGCGGCGGCGAACGCGCGCTCCGCGCTATCCTCGCCGCCGGGCACGAGCTCGGCCGCGGGACCGCGCGACGATACACGCAGGTGTACCTCCCGTCCACCGCGGTGTCCGCGCGCGGCGGCGGCGGCGCGAGCAGGGCGGAGTGGATCGACGCAGGCCGCCGGCCGTCGCGGCCGATTTCGAGCGTGATTCTCAAGCGTTCAGACGCGACGGACGCGTTGCTCGATGCGCGCGCGTTCCTTCGCCTGGAGCGGTGGTACGCCGAGCGCGGGATCCCGTACCGTCGCGGGTACTTGCTCCACGGCCCTCCCGGGGGAGGGAAGACGAGCTTAGTGCGCGCGATCGCCGGCGAGCTGCGTCTGCCGGTGTACCAGGCGTCGCTCGGCGGCCGCGGGCTGGACGACGAGGCGTTTCATCGGTTGCTGCGAGCGTGCGCGCGACGCGCTGTCGTGCTCCTGGAGGACGTCGACGCCGCGTCCGGCGCGGCGGTGGGCGCGCGGAGCGGCGGCGGCGAGGAGGACGGCGGCGGCGGCGGTCTCACGTTGCCCGGGTTGCTCAGCGCTTTGGACGGCGTCGGCGCCGCGGACGGTCGGCTGCTCTTCATGACCTGCCGCGACGCGAGCGCGCTGGAGCCCGCGCTCGTGCGGCCGGGGAGGATCGACGTGAGGATCGAGTTCGGGCCGCCGGATCGCGCGCAGGCGGCGGCGTTGTTCCGGCACTTTTACGGCGCGTCCGACCGCGCCGCGGCGACGGCGGCGGCGGCGGCGGCGTCTTCGTCTTCGTGTTCGTCGGCGGATCGCGGCGACCGCTCGGACGCGTCCGCCGCGGGCGGGACGGCTTCGAAACCGTCGCCGTCGCCGGTCGCGTTCGGCGGCGCGCCGCCTCTCTTCGACGCGCGCGTCGTCGACGCGCTCGCGGAGAAGTTCGGCGCCGCGGCGGTCGCGTCCGGGGAGACGAGAGGGCGGCGGCGGCGCGGCGGCGGCGGCGGCGACGAAAAGGCGGCGGCGCGCCCGCCGCCGTTATCCATGGCGGCGCTGCAGGGGCACCTCATGATGTACCGGGAGGATCCCGAGGGGGCGGTGGACGCGATCGGTGGGATAGAGTGGGGGTGCGATTGAAACGCATGTTATAGAACAGTTTTTTTTCACACCTTCCTCGACGCGGCGGCGGCACGGCGGCTTCCTTTTGTCGCCGGCGATCAGTGTTGACTTCACCGGGCCGTCGTCGTATCTGATCGCACTACTCGTAGCGCGAGGTCGTTATCGACGAACTGGATTACGTCACACGCGCGGCGCGCACGACTGAGCGAGATCGCGCGCGTTCAACCCACCCCCGAAGGACCCACCCCATCCCCCCCCCTCCCCCCGTCGCGTCTCATCGAGCCGACGTCCCCAATCCGGATCCGCCGCCTCGTCTCGTCGACGACTCCGTCTCGCTCAACTGCTGCGGACGCGTTTACGGGAAGCGATTCCGGTTCCCCCGTGCAAAAGTCAACCCCGCCGAATCCGATCCGCGCGCGAGCGACCCCGCGACGAAGAAGATGCCCGGACGCTTCGCCGCGTTCAGAAAGCGGTTCGCGATAAGCAAAGATGAGATGATCAAGGCCGACAGCAAGTGGACGAAGCTGTGCACGTACACGACGGCGAAGAAGGTAAAGATCGTGAACGCGAAGGTGGCTCTGTTTCACAAGGGCATGATCTTGGCGATCATAGGGTACATCCTCGCGAACCTGGTCGCGTCGTTCGGGTACATGAAAGTGGAGGCGCCGTTCGGTTCCACGAACGCGTACATCTCGGACAGCACCTGGTCGACGACGCAAGCGACGTTGAAGGCTAACAACCCGATTTACTGCGGCGGCGGCACGTGCCCCGGCACGGATTGCTCCGGCACGAATTCGACGTACGACTACACGTACAGCGCGAACTACGTGTACAACACGAACTACTGCGAGTACGACCTGGACATCGGGGACGTGCTGACGAAGGGCGAGTCCGCGGCGTTCATCACGACGTACTACCAGGACAAGCCCGCGGCAGGAACCTATGTCAGCCTCCACGGTACAAACACAATTACTTCGACGACTGCTGAAAGTAACTTTGCAGCCCCAGCCCTGAACGCCGGCAACAAGGCGACTGGGAACTACTTCGTCCCGGGCATCGAGGAAATGTACTTGAACTTCGATCACACGGTGACGACGTCGTGGGACGCCACCACGACGAACGCGAAGATGACCTTGGGTTCGAAGACGTACGCCAAGGGTGAAACCGTGAGCATCAAGATCCAAGACTTGCTCACCGAGGCGGGCGCGGATCTCGACAGCGTCAACATCGGCGCGGACCCGAGTGGATCCACGACGGGGCCGTATTACCGCATTTCTGGTATGCACCTCAAGTTCGAGATGGAGTACTCGAACATGAACCGCGAGACGCCGTTCAATCACGATGTCCACGCCAACGCGAAGGTGTCTTACACGACAGGGACGTGGAACTCGTTGGGCCCGAAGATCGTCTACAAACAGCACACCGATTTTGTGGTGTACAGGTATCAGCGGTACGCGTACACGCTGCGCATCTCCTTCGTCGCCAAGGGCTCGATCGGGGTCTTCGACTGGTTCACGCTGTTCCTCAACCTCGCGGTCGCGTTGGGTCTGACCGGCGTCGCGATCACCGTCGTGGACATGGTCAGCGAATTTTTCGTCGACGACTTCGCGGATAAAAAGTACGACGACAGGAACGAGTGGCTCACGCTGCAGGCGTGCATGGAGAACGCGGTCGAGACCGGGATGCTCAAGCGGTACGCCGCGAAGCGAGGCATACAGATCCTGGGCGATAAGAAGCTCGAGCGGATGCAGTCGGGGAGCCGATGAAGAGGACGAGGAGACGAGTGAGATTTATTTTCGTCGACGGGAGCGGCGCGTTCGTAGGGCTACAACGTACAGTACGACGCGAGTGATGAGTAATTTAGGGTATTTTAAGGTAAGCGGTAAGTTATGCGAGGATCGTCTGAGCGCGCGTTCGACGAGCGCGCGAGCGTCGGTGCCGCGTCCCGACGACGACACGAACTGGCGCGCTGTCAGTTGGCTGGTTTTTGGTTTTTTTTTGGTTTTTTTCATCGCGACAGTTGAAAATCGATTTAGCGCGCAAAACGTGTTAGAGTTGTTCGGGAAGCCGGCCTTTTCGGTGGTCCACGTCAGACGATCGCGCCAGAAGATTGAGTCGGAGGGTTTTAAACCGTGGAAAACGAGTCGATTGTCACGTTATCGCCGAAACGTCAAAAAACGTTTCGTCATTACTCCGCACGCGTTCTCTCGCGACCGCCGCAACAACCCTCATCATGGCTACCATCTGCGCCCTCACCGTCCCCACGATCGTCCGCCCCACGACGACGACGTCCACGCGCCGCGACGTGCGCGCGAACGCGTTCGGCGGCAAGAAAGGCGTCGCCTCCGCGCAGCCCCGCGCCGGGCAAAAGTACGCGGACATCGCCGCCGCCGTCGACGCGGGCCTCGTCCAGGGCGTCGCGCCGTTCGAGGACGGCATCGACCTCTTCGGATTCTTCAACGACATCGATCAGGCGGAGGCGCAGAGGTACGCGGACGTGGAGATCACGCACGGAAGGCTCGCGATGCTCGCGACCGTCGGCTTCGTCGTCGGCGAGTCCGTGGAGGGGTCCTCCTTCCTCTTCGACGCGCAGGTCACCGGTCCGGCGGTGAACCACTTCCAGCAGGTTCCGCTCCCGTTCTGGCTCGGCCTCGGCGCGCTCATCTTCGTCGTCGAGGCGTCGCGCGTGCAGACCGCGTGGCAGTCGCCGTTCGACGCGTCCCGCCTCTTCCTCATGAAGGACGACCACACCCCCGGAGACTACAACGGGTTCGACCCGCTCGGCCTGAGCAAGAACAGAGACGAGGAGTGGCTCGACATTCACCGTCTCAGGGAGCTGAACAACGGCCGCCTCGCGATGGTCGCCATCGTCGCGATGATCTCCCAGGAGCTCGTCACCGGCTTGAACCTCATCCTCAGCGATGAAGTCCTCGAGATGAAGGGCGGCGGCGCGCTCAAGGCGATGGAGGCGCAGTGCGCCGGCACCGCGGACGAGAACGCCTGCGCCAAGGCGTTCGAGGCAGCCGTCGCCGCGGGCACCGCGGTGTTCTAAAAATCTCGTTCGTCACGTTACCGCGCGATGCGAACGCTCCGCGCGTCGAGAGGCGCGTCGATATTCGTTACCACGCGATGCGAACGCTCCGCGCGTCGAGAGGCGCGTCGATATTCGACGCGCCGCCCCGCGCGCGGGGGTGTGTAAGAAAGCTTCTGTTCATTTTTTGATCTGATTCTTTGAAGGCGCCATCTGTCTCATTTTAATATCATTCATTTACTCGGCGAGCTCTAGACGTCGCGTCCGCGCCCTACCCCTCCGCCCCCCCCGCCCGCCGCGAGGTCCGGGGACATCCGCGCCGGGACGCGGTGCTTCGCCAGTATCCTCTCCCCCGCGGCCCTGCCCTCCTTCGCGTTCACGACGACGACGTCGCCGCCGACGAAGTCGACGCGGACGAATTCGCCGTCGTGCGCGTCAAGCGCCGCCGCGAGCTCTCGCATGTTCTTCACCTTCGCGCCGCACACGCGCGACACCTCCAGGTCGTGCTTCCCCTGGTACCCGACGTTAATCTCGTCCGCGAGGACGTGGGATAAGATCACGACCTGCTCGTCCGGGACTTTCATGTGCGAGTGCATCGCGCGGTCGCAGAGCCTCCGAGGCGCCTTGTCGTACCAGTCGTCTCCCCACTCGTGCAGGTGCGGCTGCGTGAGCGGGCAGAACACGAGGCCGGCGAAGACGAAGTACGTCGGGAGGCGGTCGTACTGGTGCACGGGGACGAGCGGCGCGCGGGGGGTCGCGACGACGTCGACGGTGAGAACCTCCGATTCCGCCGATTCCGCCGTCGTCGCCGCCGCCGCCGCCGTCGCCGTCGCCGCCGCGCGCTCCCCCTCGTCCTCTTCACCCCCTCGCTCCTCCCCCTCCGCGCCGTTCCTCGCGCCCGCGCGCCCGCCGAGCCTGCGCACTTTCATCCTGATGTTCTCCCCCGCGCGCTTCAGCGACACGAGGTGATCGAACGCGACGCGCTCCCACCCGCGGAACGACACGGACCCGTCGTTGGCGATCGCGGCGCCGTCGATCTCGAGCAAGACGTCGTCCGCGAACAGCTTCCCCTTCGCGGGGGACAGCGGCGCCACCTCGGTCACGATCACCCCGGTCTCGCGCTTCCCCATGCCGAGGTACGCGCGCATCGCGGGGTTGTCCGTCCACTGGCACTTGATCCCGAGCCCGCAGAAGCCGCCGTGGACGCCGTCGTACGTCCTCCCCTCGCGTCTCGCGTCGGCGGCGTCGCGTTCGACGTCGTCGAGAAACCTTCGAATCACCGGCGTCGGGATGACGTACCCGATGTTGTCCGTCCCCGGGAGGTTCTGGAACGCGATGCCGACGATCTTCCCGCGCATCACCGCGGGGCCGCCGCTGTTCCCGGGGTTGATCGCCGCGTCGAGCTGCGCGGCGAGGAGCTCCCCTGCGCCGTGCGCGTAACTCGTCAGCTCGACGCGAGACACAATGCCGCTCGTTATCGACAGGTTGTCCCCGCCCGCGGGGAATCCCATGACGCTCACCTTGGACTGCAGCGCGGGGACGTCCCCGAGCGGCAGCGGGCGCACCCTCCGCGGCGGCGCCGTCGCGGCGCCGTCGCCGCCGTCGCGGTCGCCGCCGGCGTCCGGGTCCGGGGAGAGAAAAAAGTCGGGATCGTCCACGGTGAGCACGGCCAGGTCGCACTCGTGCCCGACCGCGTGCACGCGCGCCTGGTGCTTCACGCTGCTGCCGTGACGTCTGACTTGCACGAACGTCTGGTCCGCGACGACGTGCGCGTTCGTGAGGACGCCGACGCCGCCCGGGACGGGGGCCTCGACGACGACGCCGCTTCCGAAGGATTCCCTCTGCGTCTTGTTCGCCCACGGCTGGAAGTAGTTGGGCGACGAGTGCACGGTGAAGACGCGCACGACGCTCTGCAGCGCGTCCGCGGAGGTCTCCGCGTCCGCGTCGTATTCGTCCGCGGCCGCCTCCGCGGGCGCGGCCGCGGCGCTGAACGGCGCGGCGAACCGATCGTTGTTACCCGTCGTCGTCGTCGTCGTCGTCGTCGTCGTCGTCGTCCATCTTTTCCGCGCGTCCCCGCGCGGAGCGACGGCGGCGAGGGACGGGACGACGCGCGACGCGTCGGACGCGCTCGCGACGCGCGACCGCCGCGTCGCCGCGGAGGCGACGCTCGCGAGCGCGCGCGCGCGGCGCAGGAGCGCGGCGCTCATCTCTCTGTCCTCGACGCCGAGAGCGAGCACTGTCAGGTCATCAGGTCTTGTCGACGCGACGAAAACTGATGACGAGTCGCGTTCGTCGTCCCCGACAGGACGCGGACGCGCGCGCGCGCCTTCTCAGTCCGCGACGCGCGCGCTCCAGGTCGTTCAGGTCGCGACGACGAGGCGAGCGCGGCTCGCGCGCGCGGCGTGATCCCGCGCCGTCGCCATGGCGTCCCGGTTCCTGCGCAAGACGGTCAGGACTCTACCTTCGCCACTCCCATCACTTGCCGATCTGCGGTACGTGGTGGAGCGCACGTGCACGTACGATCTCAAGCGCGGGTGGGACGCGCTCGGCGTGACCGTCGTGAAGAGCGTGGCCCCGACCTTCCCCGACCTTCTGCAGCAGATCCAGCGCACGCGCGACGAGCTCGCGAATAACCTCGACCCGCCGCTGGCGACGGACTCGGTGTGCGGCGCGGTGCTCTTCTCGGGCGACGCGATGTCGCCCGCGATCCGAACGTCCCCGAGACTCGTCCCGCGCGACGACGACGACGACGCGGACGCGGACGCGCGCGCGTCGCGCGCCCCGCGCGCGTCGCGCGCCCCGCGCGCGTCGCGCCGCGCCGCCCTCCTCGTGCGCGAGCTGTACTACCCCGAGCACGACGACGAGGAGCTCGTCGCGTTTCGCGCCATCGCGGCGAAGCCCGGCTGGCTCTTCGACCCCAACCTGTTGTCGCGCCCGCTGTTGTCGCTGCCGTGGCCGCGACGCGCGCACGTCGGCGACGTCGTCGCGTTTCTCGACCCCGCGGAGGCGGATGCGGATGCGGAGACGGACGACGGTGATCCCGCGGTGATCGTCCGCCGCGTCGCCGCGCTGGAAGGGGACGTCATGACGTCCACGACGGGCGCGGAGGACGACTTCGTCGTCCCGGCGGACCACGCGTGGGTGCTTCGCGACTGCGACGACGGGGTCGCGTCCGCGTCGGACGCGCGAGATAGCCGCGCGTTCGGACCGCTGCCGCTGCGGCGCGTCATCGGGAGGGTGGTGTACAGCGCGCGGAGCGCGAGCGATCACGGCGTCGTGAGGAACAGCGCGGAGGCGACGCGGGTGGACGTGCCGATATTGAGCGCGGAGCTGGGGAGGGGATTGGAGACGATGCTGTCGCTGTTGGAGGAGGCGGCGGAGGAGGGAGACGCGAGGTCGCGGTAGGGTAGCTATGAGCTTAATCATTCATTCATTCGCACGTTCGCTCGTCACGCGGCGTCCATCGCGACCGCGCCGCCGCCGCCGCCGTCGCCCTCGCGGAGCTGATAAATCTGCAGGTAGCACTCCGTGAGGACCACCTGCTGCGGCAACACTTCGCTGACGACGAGGTCGTTCACCTCGTACCAGTTGCCGTCCGCGACGTGATGCACCATCGCGCGGTACGACCCCTCCGCGGGCTTGCCGTCGTGGCACACGTTCGCGACGAGGTCGTACGTGCTGTCCACGGGTTGACCGCCCCCCGGGATCGCGTTCGGCCGCGTCGGGACCGGGACGTGGTCGCCGAGTCTCAGGCTCTTCACGGGAAACGTCACGATGGTGGGGTTCTTCTCCACGAAAAAGTTGTTCTTCGTGAAGCGCTTGTAGTGCACGATGAGGTACCGCGGCAGCCGCGATATCTTGTACGTCTTCACCCCCGGGGTCGGGCGCAAGACCTCGTGCGGCGTCTCCCCGTCGAACTTTCGCAAGATCTGCGACAGCGGCACCTGCGGGATGAAGTTGTTCTCCATCGCGTCTTGGAACAACGGCGGCGGCGGCAGGTCCAACGCGAGCGTGTAAAACGGCATCTTCGCGCTCTCGCCAGTCTCGCCCGGTCGCCCCACGGACGTCACCTCGAGCTCGCCTTGGAAGCAGTGGTTGATCACGGAGCTGCCGCCCTTCATCTTACCGCTGAGGTCGCGGTGCAGCGTGTTGAGAAGCCACGTCATGAAGTCGACCGGGTCGGACTGCTTGTCCACGAGAAACCGCCGCCGCGACGACGCCAGCACCGCTTGCATGAACTCGTGCGGAGACACCTGACCTTTGAAGTTCCGCGAGTTCCAAATCTTCCGCGTGAGCTCGCCGAAGCGCTGAACGAGCAAGCTCTGGTCGTCGCTCGCCGCCGCCGCCGCGCCGCCGCCGCCGCCGCCGCTTTCGTTCCCCCCCCGCGCGGACCTCAAGAAGAAATTCCGCACCGGCTTGACGCGCATGAGCGCTTGCAACACGACGTTGACGTAATCCGTCGCCTTCAGATTGTTCAACCCGATCGCGCCGGTGAGGTAGTCCGTCCCGTCCAAGCCGCGGCTCCACATCTTCTTCGTCTCCGTCTCCTCGATCTGCGCGGGCGTGAACGTCGGATCGAGGACGTGCCGGATGTCGTCTAACGATCGGTCCACGATCTCGTACGCGTCGGGAAGGCAGTAGACTTTCCCGGTGTGCAAGTTCATGAACACGTGGTGCGTCGCCTCCAACGAGTGCGTGTACGCGTGCGTGTTCGGGCCTCTCCCCGCGAAGTACTTCCCGCACACCAAGCACGCGTAGACGTTGTTCGGGGACAGCGACACGGAGCAGCACTTCTCGAAGTCAAAGTCCAGCAGCGCGCGGTTCACCGTGTCGAGGTACGGGCAATCTCTCGACGCGCGGTTGGCGCGCTCGCGTCGCTCCGCCGCGAGCCTGGACGCGTCCTCCGCCGACGTCGCCCTCTCTTCCTCTTCCTCCGCGTCGATCTCGGCCTGCAGCGCGGCGACCGCGGCGGCGCGCGCGTCGAAGACCGCCGGCGCCGCGTTCGCCGCGAGCATCGCGGCTTCGACGGAGGAAGGCACCGGCGCGGGCGCGGGCGCGGGTTTCGGCGGCGGCGAGGGCTCCCGCGGCGGCGGCGGCGCGGGCGCGGGCGCGGGGGGTTCCTTCTCCGTCAGGACCGGCGGCGGCGGCGTCTGCGAGCGCGCGGGAGGCGGCGGCGACGGCGCGACGGCTTCCTCTTCCGCGGGCGCCGTCGACGTCGTCGCGCGTTTCGGCGACGGCGCCTCCGCCGCGGCGTCGTCCTCGTCGCGCTTGCGCTTCGCGGGCGACTTCTTCGGAGACTTCTTCGGCGACTTCTTCGGCGACGGCGGCGGCGGCGTCTCCTTCGCCGCGGCCTCGCCGCCGCCCGCGCCGCGGCTCGCCTCGAGGCGGTCCAGCAGATCGTTCTTGACGCCGTCGGTACCTAATCCCCTGGACTCGAGCAGCGCCCGCAGCTCCGCGACTTTCATGCGCTTCAGGAGCTTCAGCTCCGGGAGGTCGTCGTCCCCGGCCATGACGCGCGGCGCGACGTGACCGATCAGACCGCGCGTGCGATGGCGCGTGCGCGGCGCCCGCGAGAGTGGGCGCTTCGTCGTCGGAGCGATGATGATGAGAATCTCAACGACAAAATGTATTTTGATGACGAGGATCGTTGACGCGTCGAATCTCGCGCCGCCGTCCTCGCGCGCGGCGCCACTTCGCACCGCGCGCGTCGCCGACGACTTCGCGCGGGAGAAGCACGCGAGCGAGCCGCGTATCGCATCGCATCGCGCGTCGATGGCCGCTCCGGACCGCGGTCCGAAGCTCCCGCCCGATGCGCGAGGAGGGAAGGGCGACGCCTCGGGGAAAAAGCACAAGAGTACTAAGAGCGGAGGCGGCGTCAAGACGAAGAAGCGGACGTCCTCCAGCGACGGCGCGATGAAGCCGCTCGTGCTGCTCGCCGCGGGGATGGCGCTCGTGCCCGTGATCAAGAAGCTGAAGGATTTGCTCGAGTCTCGCGGCGGCGGCGAGAAGGGCGAGAAGAGCGAGAAGGGATCCGCGTTCTCCTTCGGAAAGGGAAAGAGAGGCGGCAAGGCGAAGGGCAAGGGCGGCGACGGCGGCGGCGACGCGGGCATCAAGAAGCCGCCCGGCGCGGGCGCGAAAGGCGTCGAGCGCGTCGGGAACGTTCCCCGGAACAAGGCGTCGAACAACAAGAAGAACCGCGCGAGGAAAGCGGAGAGGAAGGCGTCCCGCGCGGAGGAAGAAGATCGCGCCAACCCCAAGCACAAGGCTGGGCAGCTTCCCAACGGAGGCCACGCTGTCGTCAAAGAGGGGAACAACGTTCCGAAGGACGACGACATCATCGGCGGCGAGGCGGGGAAGACGTTCACGACGACGTCGAGCGTGAAGGTGCCGACGTGGTACGCGAGAGTGCGAGAGGAGCGAGGGAACGACTAGCCAGACTACCGGCCGAGGAGGGCGCGTCGTCGTTTCGCGAGACGTCGGCGTCGTCGACTTTGTCGCGTCGTCGTCATTCAGAAACGCACGCTCGTCGTCGTCTCCCTACATCACCCCGTCTCCACCATTCGTTCATCCCATCGGCGGCGGCGGCAGGTCCGGGTTGAACCCGCCGCCTGGGTTGAACCCGTCCCCGCCGCCCGGTCCGTGGTGCCCCGGGTACCCCGTCCCCGGCGGCCCGCCTCTCGGCCGCCCTCGCGGCCATCCCCAATTCGGCCCCGCGCGCCCGCCGCCGAAAGGCCCCAGCCCGCGTCCTCTCCCGCCTCTGGAGAACGGGCCGCCGCGTCCGAACGGCGTGAACCCCTGAGGACCGATGGGGTAGTCGTCCGGGTACCCGCTCGGGACGCCGCCGAAGTCCACGTCGGGATTGCCGACGCCGGGGGGGAAGCCGACGTCGGGATGCACGCCCGGTCGGAACTCGCCGCCGCGGCCGGTCCACTGCCCGGGGTCGCGACCGAAGTTCCCGGGGTCGAACTCGGGCATGCCCGGCGGGCCGTACGGGTCGAATCGCGCCCCGGGCGGGGGGATCCCGGGGGGGACGCGCCCGGACGGCGGGGGGTGGAACCCCTCGCGAAGGAGGAGGCCGCCGCTTCCGCCGCCGTCGCCATCGCCGTCGCCTCCTCCTCCTCCTCCTCCTCCTCCACCTCCTCCTCCTCCCTCGCCTCCGCCGTCGTCGTCCTTGTCCTTCTTCAGGACGTCCTCGAGGAACCTCTCGAGCGTCGCGTCGAGCTTCGGGAACGCCCCGGGGACGTCCCCCGCGCTGACCTTCGCCGCGTCCACGTGCTCGCCGAGCGCGAACGTCGCGCTGCCGACGTCGACGTCGTCGTCGGCGGTGGGCGCTCGCAGGGTCGCGACGAGCGCGTCCTCGAGGACGCGCGCGATCAACGTCGCGCCTTGGCCGTCGCCGTTCGCGCGCTCGTATCGGAACGCGTACTGCCCGTCCTCGCGCGCGTTCCAGCCGCGCGTCGGGTCCGCGTCCGCGTCCGCGTCCGCGGCCCGCGCGACGACGTCGGCGTCGACGCCCGCGCCCGAGTCCACCGCGAGGACGTTCCATCCCTCCGCGAGGCACGCGGCGTGCAGCGCGAACGCGAGCGCGTCCGCGGGGGTCCTGCATCGCGGGCGCGCGGCGCGAACGACCGCGAGCACCGCCGCGGGCGTCGCCATGGCGTCGCGTCTCGGTGCGCGCGTTTGCGTTTGTGGCTCCTCGGCCGCTTCGAGGGCGATTGCGATTCCGCGAGCAAAAACAGGTGATCGGTCAAAATTGAAAGGGGAAGCGATCAAGTGTTGAAACCGAGCGGTGGGTGATAAACGTTCGTATCGAACGCGCAAAATCAGCCCTCCGCCTCATCAGCGCCAAGTTCGATCGAGGTCGAAGGGACGGCGCTCGATCCGCGCGGGGGCGCGCACACCGAGACGCGCGTCCGTCGCCGAGACCCCGCGCGCGCACGTCCGACGCCGCCGAAAAGCTCATCGCGCTAACGCGCGCGACGGATCGAACGCGCGAGGACCGAGCGCGGTCGTCGTCGTCGTCGGAGAAGACGCAGGGGAAAGGAAGACAGGAGAGATGGGGATCATTCAGGACACGCCAAAGTACCCGGTCATCGACCGCGCGCCGAGCCTCGCCACCACGGGTGCGTCCGTCCGTCCTCCGCGACGCGTCAACACTCTCGCTCTTCTTCCGCGGTCGCCCTCCGCGCCGTCGCGACGCGGCGGGGATCGAACCCGCGCGCGCGCGTCGTCGCGCGCGCGCGACGAACCGAACCCGCGGCGACCCTAGAAAAGAACGAGCGACCCCCCGCGATCAATAATGATCAGATCCGATCGTTCCCTAACTGAACTCACCCTCGTCCCCCCCTCGCGCCCTCCCGCAGTGAGCAACTTCAACGTGACGGACTATCGCGACTGGGCGGCGATCACCGCCGCGGGCGTCCCAATCGGGTGGTACGCCGGCATGAGCGCGGCGAAGTCAGTCGCGAAGCCGTGCGCGTACATCGCGGCGGCGATGGGCGCGTGGGGGGGGTTCTGTTGGGCGTGCCAGAGCTCCACGGGTCGACTCATGGGGTTCAAGGAGAACCCGGAGGAGGTGAAGCGAGCGGGGCGGCGGTGAGGCGAGCGAGGTAGGGTCGCGATCGAACGCGAGCGTCGCGACGGACGGAGGACGTGTAAAGAAGAGTTCGCACATCATTCTCGTCGCGGTGATCGCGCGCGCCGGTGGAAAAAAATCCGTTCTTAAAAACTTTCCCCTAAACGAACCGAACGTCGCGCGAACGGCAGGAGGCGCGGGCGTCCGTCTCCTTCAGTTGTCTCATCACAACCTCCCGGTGTCCACGCCGATCTGCCTCTTCATGAGCTCGTACGTCATGTACGTGATGCTCACCCCCGGCACGACCTTACAAAACTCCGGGATGAGCCCGCGGTAGAACCCCGCCATGCCCTCCGTCGCCCAGATGGCGCGAAACACGCCCAAGAAACTCTGCCCGCGATCCTGCGCGCACCGCATCTGCAACCTCCTCCGCACTAAATCGAGCGGGTAACACGCCGTCGCGGACACCACCGCGGACGCGCTCCCGCACAGCAGCGATCGCATCGTGGGCTCGCCGAAGATCCCGAGGTGGTCCTGAGGGGCGTTCCATACGAGCGAACGTCGGGGTGGAGTTGAAAGGCGTCAGTTGAAGTTGAAAGGCGTCGAGGGCGGGGATCGAAAGCGATGGATGGGCGGAGAGAGACGATGGCAAAAGTCCTTAAGGATCGGCGTTCACCACGCGAACGTAGTCGTATGGGGACCAGTGTATAGAACGCGCCTGATGCTCCGCGGCGGCGACGCGAAACGTCTCGTACGCCGCGAAGTTGATCGCGAGGCTCGGCCCCACGCCCACGAGCGTCGGCGGGAGGCCGCGGTACAACCCTCTCGGCCCTTCCTTCTTCGCGATGACGTACAGCGCGTGGAATAAGCCGTCGTAGTGCTTCACCGTCGTCTGCGCCGCGAGGCGCGTGCGGACGAGGTCTAGCGGGTAGGTCATCGCGCACGCGATCATGCCGGCGCTGCCGCCGGCGACGAGCCGCCGGCCGACGTCCCAACCGAGCCCGACGCCGCCCTGGCGCTCCGGGTTGTCCTCGTCGTCTTTCCTGCTCGTTCCCCCTTTCCCCCCGGCGGAGGACTTGGACTTCTCGCCGCTCCGGGCCCAGCTCCCTTCGCCCTCGAGAAAGTCCATGATGTTCTCGTACGCGTAAAAGTTGATGCTGCTGTACGGCAGGCGATGGAGCACCGTGACGCCGTTGCCCTTCCACAGCGCGCGCACGCCCTCCTCACGCGCGATCTTCGCGAGCGCGGCGTAGATCCCCATGCCCGCGCTGCCGCTCCATCCGTGAACGACGCCGGTCGATTGCAGCTGGCGCAAGATCGTGATCCGCGCGAGCGGCGCGGTGCACGACTTGGAGAAGGCGCCCGCGACGCCGCCGCACAGGAGCAACTTCGTCGTCGCGGGTATCTCCGGCGCGAGCTTGCCCAGATCGCGGAGCCACGCCGGGCTCGCGGACGTGCTCGCGCCGGCGGTCGTGCGCCGCCACCACGCGTCGGGGGGCGGGCCGGACTCGGACCCGGGCGGGGCGCTCATGTCGAGCTCGGATCGGCGCGCCGTCGCAGTGATCGCGGCGCGCGGCTGACGAGCGCGTCGCCTGTTCAAAAGGAAGGCGCGAAAAAAAAACAAGTGGCGAGCGGACGAATCGCTTTGATCAGTTCGAGGGGAAAGACGGCACACATCGTCAGTTCCGACGCGCGCGGCGCGATGGCGCCGTCGTCGTCGTCCTCGTCCGACTCGGACGTCATCGAATCGGACGTCGAGTTCGAGTTCGACTCGTCCCCGACCGCGGAAGCGCCGAGCGACGCGCGCGATGATCGGTCTCCTCCGCTCGCGAGCTGGCTCCGGCGAAGCGTCACGACGGGCGGGGCCGGCGTTAGCGTTACGACGACCGGCGACGACGGCGACGTCGCGTCCGTCCCAGCGCCGGCGAGACGCGCGGCGTCGACGTCGACGCCGCCGCCGCCGTCGTCGCCCGGAATAGAAGACACGAGCTACGGCGACGACGCGTTCGAGGAGGAGGACGTCCCCTCCGAGGCGTCGAGCGGCGCGGGGGACGACGACGACGACGACGACGACGACGACGACGACGACTCGCGCGCGAAATCGTACGCCGACGACGACTTCGAGAGCGATGCCGATCTGAGCTTCCGCGGCGGCGTCGCGTCCGCGGGGCCGACGCCGACGCCGCGCGAGCGCACGCCGAAGACGATCCCCGCGCCGACGACGCCGCCGACCGCGACCGCGGCGCGCGACGAGCGCGGCGCGCCGAGGAGGGAGGAGACGCGCGAGAAGACGGATTCATCGCGTCCGCATCGGTTCGACGCGCAACCGTCGCGCCTCGCCGCGCTCGTCGCGCGCGCGCGCGACATCGCGGCCAGGGACGCGAGCGGCGACCCCGGGAAGGCGTACCCGCCGCCGCCGATCGTCGTCTCCGAGCTCGTCGTCGCGAAGCTGCGCGCGGAGTGTCTGAGCCACGCGCAGCGCGCGACGACGCGGCGGCTCGCGAAGGAGGTGAAAAAGTTGCGCGCGGAGCGCCGGCGACGCGCCGCGCCGGAGGCGGCGCGACGCGCGTACATCGCGCGCGCGTGCAGGCGCGTCCAGGCGTCCGAGGGCGAGCGGCGGTACGCGCGAGAAGTCGAGAAGAAGGAGAAGCGCGACGACGACGACGACGACGACGACGACGGCGCGCTTCGTCGAAAGGAAAAAGCTGAGGAGGACGCGGACGCGAAGCGGCGGTGGGAGGAAAGCGAAGCCGCCGCCGTCGGCGCCGCTCGTAGGACGCCGCGCGAGCCGTGGGCGCGCGACGCGTCGACGGAGCTCCAGCGCGAGTGGGACGAGCAGGAGGAGCACGCCGCGCTGAAGAGAGAGCTCGCGAGAGCGGCCGCGGGGGCGGAGGCGGGTCCGGGTCCGCGCGTCGGGACCCTCGGCGCGGGGCGCGTGGCGCTGATGCGAAGGCTGCGGAGCAGTCTTCAAACGCGCGCCGACGCGGCGGCGGCGTTTGACGACGACGCGCCGGAGCCGCCGCAGAGCTGGAGCGCGCTGCGCGTCCCGGGCGGGGTGGGGATGGAGGTAGGAGAGGGCGACGCTGGGGTGGAGCACGAGCTCTTGAGGAACAGCGCGGAGCTGAGGAGGCTCGCGGAGGGGGTGCTCGGGAGAGGCGGGTGAGAGAAACGCTTTCTTTTTTAGTGCTCGCCGCGCCGCGCCGGCCGCGAGATTAGACGCGTTGCGCTCAGTCGCGCTCAGGGTAATTGCTCATATAGAGTACGGAAGTACGTAGTACGTGCAACCTATGCGATCGTTCCGGGTTTTCCGCTAGGGTTCCGGTGTCTTCCCCCCCCCCGCCGCGCGCACACCCGCTCTCGCGGACCGCACGCGCGACCTCGCGTCCATCGCACGGACGCCCGCGATGTCGTCCGCCGCGTCCGTCGCCGCGTCCGCGGCCGCGACGACCGCCGCGCGCGCGGCGGCGTGCCGTCCCCGCGCGACGGCGACGTCCGCCTCGTCGTCGTCGTCGTCGTCGTCGTCGTCGAATCCTTCGCGGTCGCGACGGATCCGCGCGCCCCCCCCGCGCGCCTCGCGCTCACCCTCCGCGTACTTCGTCGACGTCACGGACGCGGATCCCGGGGTGAAGCTCGCGCCGTTCGAGCCCGGCATGCGCGACGCGACCGTGTTCGGCGTCTCGCACATGACCAACGCGCACGAGGCGGCTGAGCACATCCTCGTCAACGCGCCTGCGTCCGTCGTCGTCGAGACGGGGCTGTGCAAAGAGCACGGCGCCGCGCGAGGGACGACGTTCAAGTTCGACGAGATCTTCACCGCGATCGAGATCGGCGGCGCGAAAGCGACCGCGGAGGAGAGCCTGCAGTTCATCACGCGCGTGGCGCATCAGCTTCGACTGGAGGAGCGTCCGCTGCACAAGTCGCCCTTCTGGCAGTCGATGAAGACGCAGGCGCGTTCTATACACTGGTTCCCATACGACCGCGTTGGCGTTGTGAACGCCGATCCTTAAGGACTTTGCCCGGCGCATCTCTCCGCCCACCCCTCGCGTTCAACGCCCGCCTTCGACGCCTTTCAACTCCAACTGACGCCTTTCAACTCCACCCCGACTTCGCTTTGTATGGAACGACCCTCAGCTCCCCGCGGAGCCGCTCGTGTACGCCGCCGCGTTCGCGGTCGACGCGCGGCTCGTGTTCGGCGACCGCCCGAAGGAGACGACGTACCGAAGGCTGCTGTCGTGCCCGACCCTCGCGGAGCTCGACGAGACGTTCGGGAATCAGTCGGAGCGAAACTACCGGCTCCTGCTCCCGGAGGATCACCCGCTCGCCGCGGTGCCGCCGATGCCCGCGCACGATAAGTTCGAGCAGATTTGCATCCACGAGAGAGACGAGATATTGACGCACACGATCAGGCTGGAGGCGTCGAACGCGGAGGGGGCCGGGGAGGTCGTCGCGGTCTTGGGCGCGGATCACGTCCCGGGCGTGGAGAAGAGGTGGCGGTCCTTCGTCGACGGCTCCGCGACGCCGCCGACGCCGGATGAGATCGACGCGTTGAACACCGCGCCGGACACGGCGGAGGACGACATCGGCGTGCGGCTCGCGATCATGCAGCGACTGTTGGGGTTGCGGTGCACGGAATCGCTCGTGAACGACGCGAACGCGGCGTTAGACGCGGACCTGGACGCGTTGAAAGGGGAGGACATCATCGCGTTCAACGCGACGTCGGAAATTTACGGCGCCGCGCGGATGCTCCTCGCGTGCGTGAACGACCGCGATGTCTTCGACGCCGTCATCGGGGGGCGGGGCGGGTGCGACTTCGGCGACGTCTTGTCGCCGATGCGGGACGTGCGGCCGATGAACGGCGGGAAAGGGTGGAGCGAGGAGGCGCTCTTGTGGTTGCGGACGGCGAGCGGCGTGGACTTTTCCGCGCTCGCCGCCGAGGAGCGGTGACTCTGAGACGGGAAGTTCTGATCCGACGCCGTTCTGATCCGCCACCCGCGCGACGAAGGTCTACATAGTCTACACTACTCGTCGACGTGATTCGATCATCACGCACTCCTAGCTAGGGCTACGTGCGCGCGCGACGCGACGTCCGTAGTCGCATCGTCGCGCGCCGCGTCCGTCGACGTCGTCGCGTCATCGCATCCGCCGCTCCAGGACGAGGACGACGTCGAAGTCGCCCGCCTTTTTATTGCTAAATATCGCGCCCATGGCGTCGTCGAACGTCGCCCCCGGCGCGTACGCCTCCCCGACCGGGATCGTGAACAGGACGCGTCGAAACCCGGGCCGCCCGACGCCGCCCAAGAACAAGTTCCCCATCGGGTACTTCATCTCCGGTATCATCGCGGACGTCGCCCGCAAGACGTCGCCGACGGCGACGCCGCCGACGGCGGCCGCGTTCGATCCCTCCACCACCTCCGCGACGACGATCTCGCCGTCGTCGTCGTCCTCCTCGAACGCGATCCCGACCGGCGGCGGGATCGTGACCTGGACGATCCGCGCGGACGCGCTTCGCACCGCGAACGACGCCATCGCGACGTTCGCGTCCTCGGCGTCGAGCTCGACGACGACCTCTCTGCGCACGATCCCGATCCCCCCTTCGTCGCGCGAGGTCGAGGCGTCGTCGCCGTCCGCTCGCTCCGGCGGCGGCTCGCGCCTCGCCTCGTCCGCGGTCGTCCCGGGGACGAGCTTGTCGAGCGCGCGCAGCGCGTCGCGCGACGCGTTGCCGTCCGCGCGGTCGTCGTCGTCGTCGCCGCGATCGCCCTTTTGCGACGAGACCGCGCGGCGTCGCGTCGCGCGTCGAGTCCGAGCGGGCGTCCGAGTTGGAGTCCGCGGCGTCGTCGCCGGAGCACCCCGCGTCCGCGCCGCGAGGGCGGTGCGGGAGCACCCCGCGGCGGCGGTCGTCGCGCGCTCCATCTGGCGAGGTCGGGCGTTCGATCGATCCTCACCAGGCGGTTCCTGTCAGTTCGCGACGTCGCGTCGTCGCGGCACCCACGCGTAGTAGTTGTACAAGTGTACGCGCGAAACGTGCTGTGCAATCAGTCAGAAGATCAATCCCTGCACATCCCTGCACCGTCATCCTCTCACCACCACCGCAACTTTCCACGCAAGCACGTCAGACCGCTTTATCCGGGCGTCGCGCGCGGACGCGCCGCCGCACAACACGCGTCGCGCCCGCGCACCCCGCGCGCGAAATTCCCAGGGCGCGCGCTCGGCGCTTTAACGGAACCGTCTCGGGGTCCGCGCGCGCGCGAGCGACGTCGCGCGAGGGGACAGAGCGCGCGAACGGAACGGCGACGGCGGAGACGCGCGAGTAAAAACCGAGCGGGATGCCGATCGAGCGCACCGCGTCCGTGGAGGACATGGTCGGGAACCTGTGGAAGCTCGGCCGGACGCCGTCGCAGGCGGAGTTCGAGCAGTTCTTCAGCAACATCGCGCAGGTGGGGAGTCAGCAGAACCTCGCGGCGATGGCGCAGGCGGCGCAGGCGGCGAACGGCGGGACGATGCCGGCGGACGCGGTCGCCGCGACCGGGATGCCGCGCGTCGCGTCGCTCGACCTGCTGCGGAAGCTCATGGCGCAGCAGCCCGCGCAGCCGGGGAACATTCCGTTCCCGGGGATGAGCGCGGGTAATATTCCGGGGATGCCCACGGGTGCGAAAGCGCGCGTTGAACCTCGTCTCGCGCGTCGCGTCCCTCGCCGCGCGCGTTCGCCGGCGGGACGCGACGCGCGAATTCTCGCGCAATTCGCTGGGGAGCTTCATCGCGCGCGCTTTTCGCTTTTCGCTTTTCGCTCGCTCGCTCGCGTCTCCGTCGCGTCTCCTCGCCTCGTCGCCGACGTCCCCCTCCCCCTAAACCCTCACCCGAACGCAGCGGCGAGCATCCCTTTCGGGGCGTTCGCCCCCGGGGTCGCGGGCGTCGCGCCCGCCGTCCCGCCGTCGTCGGCGACGCCGCCGCCGTCGCTCGTCCCCGTCGCCGCGGGAGCCGCCGCGGGCGGCAAGACGAAGGCGACGACGCGCGCCGCTCGGACGCCGCCCGCGAAGAAGGCGAAGACGGCGCCCGCGGGGAAGGCGAAGCCGGAGCCGAAGGGCAAGGCGGGGAATTCCGGCGCGAAGGGGAAAGCCGCGGCGGGGAAGGACGAGCCGAAGAACGGAGGCGACGACGACGACGACGACGACGACGGCCCCGGGAGCAGCGGCGACGAGGAGGAGGCGAGGAAGACGGGCAAGACCACAGACGAAGTCCGACGGCAGCGCAGGATGCTGTCGAACCGCGAGTCCGCGCGACGGTCGCGCAGGAGGAAGCTCGAGCTCGTCGCGACGTTGGAGGGGCAGATCGAGGGGCACAAGCGCGAAAACGCGGCGCTCGCGACCCGGCTTCGCGACTCGGAGCAGAGAGTCGACCTCGCGATGCGCGAGATCGCCGCGCTGAAGTCAGAGGTGGAGCGTCTGACGTTGCTCCTCGGCACCGGCGGCGGCGGCGGTTCAGGCGGCGGCGGCGCGGGCGGCGGAAAGACGCACGGGGGGCTCGTCGGGAGTTCGTCGCTGCAGAGAATCGCGAGCGCGGGGAAGCTCGCCGATGCGGCGGGCGCGGGCGGCGGCTTGGGCGGGGACGACTCCCCGAAAGGGTTCGTGCCGTTCCGGTCGCTGCAGTCGTACGAGAACTTGCTCTCGCTGCAAGCGCAGAGCCGGTGACGCGAGCGCGCGGAAGACGGCGGCGCGGGATTGTTTAAGGGTTCTTTTGAGCCGAACGAAGACGGCGAGAACGCGTCAGTAAAGTAACGTAGCAGCGTGGAATGTGCAAAAGTAGCCAGCCGCAAAAGCGACCGACGACGCGTCGAACTCGACTATCTTCGACTATCTCACATCTCGCGACTACGTGTACGTGTACGCTAAAACCTGAGGTTCTTCACGAGCGCGGCGATCTCCCTCGTCGCGCTCATCGTCGGCGTGTACCCCGACGTCGTCAACGGCGGCGCGGAGTCCGTCCGGAAAAAGTCCGGCAGCGGCGCCTTGGACGGCGTCCGCCTCCCTCTCGTCCCGACCGTCTTCGACCCTCGCGTCGTCGCGGCGTTCGCGTCGTCGCTGCCGCCGTCGCCGTCGCCGTCGCCGTCGCCGTCGCCAAAGCCGCCGGTGTGAAACGTGAGCTTCTTCCTCGGCACCGCCGCGGTCTCCGCGTCCGCGTTCACGATCTCCGCGAGCGGCGTCGCTTTCGAGCTCGCCGTCTTCGCGAGAAGCTCGGTCGTCTCGTCGAACGTCGGCAGTTTCGTCCAGTCCGCGTTCGCCGACACCGCGCGCTGGAAATCGATCGCGCTCGTCGGCTCCGGGTTCGTCGCCGCCGTCGTCGTCACCTCCTCCTCCACCTCCTTCTCCTTCTCGCGGGGGTCCGCCGCGCGTTTCATTCTCTCCGCGGGCGATTCGTTCTCTCCCTCCTCGACGACCGCGGCGTGGGCGGGTTTTATCGGCGTCAGGTTCAGCGCGGTCGCCGCCTCCTCCTCCGTCATCGTCGCCGGCGGCGGCAACTCGCGGCCGAGGTATTCCATCAACAGCCGCCGCGGCTCCCCGCGGCTGCTCTCTCGTCGCGCGAGCGCAGCCTCCTCGTCCATGACCTCCGCGATCTTCCTCAGCCCGGGTTCATCCTCGGTGGCGTACGTCGCGTCGCGTCCCCACGACGCTAACGCGTGCGCCTCGCGCGTCAGCTTCGCGCACGCCTCCGCGCCCTCGGCGATTCCCGCGAGTCTCGCCGCGTCCGTCGCGACTTTCGTCGCGTACACCGCGTCGTGCCTTAAACCTCTGAGCTCCTCTTTCAGCTCGCTCAGCTGCGTCTTCACGTGCTTCGCGATGACGGATGTCTCTTTATGTAACGCCTCGTCTTCTTCGGTTACCCCCACCGTGTCCGGCACCGCGAGCGACGCGGCGACGTACAGCTCGTAATGCAGCTTCTTCGTGAACGCCTCCTCAGCCTCGACGCACCGCTCGAGCGCGGTGAGCGCCCACTCGCGCTGCCGTATCGCGCCCTCGACGACGTTTCCAGCCTCCTCCGCGACGCGCGCGCGCTCGTGGTCGGCGTGCAGCGCCTCGCGGTGCGCTTCGTACGCTTCCCTCTCGAGATCCGCCGCGCGTTTGATGGTGTCTTCTGAACGGCCTTTCAGCTCCGCCCTAGTCTCGGCCATCATCCGCGCGTGGTTCCCCTCCTGCTCCGCGTGCTTCTTAGACATCTCCGCGAGCGCCGCGCGCGTCTTCGCCGCGTCCTTCGTCGCCTCCGTGTCGCACCGCCGTCGTTCGTTCGCCGTCGCGCGTTCGACCGCGACGCGAATCAACTCCTCTCGGTTCGCGTCCTTCTCTCGCAGCTTCTCGAGCTCCAGCGTCGCCTCCACGAGCTTCTCTCTCGTCGCCTCGTACATCGCGCTCGCGTTGCGTCCCTCCGCGGTCGCCCGCTCCGCCTTGGCGACCACGTCGGAGCGCACTTTCGCGTCCACGCGCAGTCGCGCGACGTGCGCGTCGAGTTCGCTCGTCGCCCGCCTCGCCGCCGCGAACGCTTCCATCTTCTCTCTCTCGGACGTCCGCAACATGTCCACGATGCGCAGCTCGCGCGCGTCAGCGGCTTGTAACGCCTCACGATCGCGCGTTATTCTATCCTCCAGCGCCTTAAACACCCGCATCGCGGTGTCCGCGCCGTCGGCGGCGTCGACGCCGCTTCGCAGCGCATCCTTGACGACGGGTCGTTCGAACATCGCGCGCACGTCGCTCTCCATCGCGACGCGCGCGTCGCGCTCGCGCGTCAGCCGCGCGCTCGCGTCGGAGAGCTTCGCCTTCAGAGACGCGCGTTCGCGCTCGAGCGCCGTCGCCCGTCTGTGCGTCTTCGTCAGCTCGATCTGCCACAGCGCGGCCTCTTTCGTGCCGTCCTCGGCGGTGACGTACCACCGCGTCCGGCCGTCTCTCTCGTGCTTCAGCGGGCCGCCGTCCGCGCGCCATCGGTTCCGTCGAAGCGTGGCGGACGTGGACGGCGAGGACGCGGACGGCGCGCGCGCGAACGCGCGGGACGGGTCCATCTCCGCGGAGCGCGCGGTCGCGTCGTCGTCGTCGTCGTCGTCGTCGTCGTCGAATTCGTCGTCGTCGAATGTCGTTCCGGCGTTCGCGTCAGCGCGCTCGGCTTCTTCCTTCCCCGCGCGGCTCACCCTGGGGACCGCCGCGGACGCGCGTCTCGAGACGATCTCGGAGTCGCGTCGCCGCGTCGGCGGCGAGGTCATCGCGCGCGCCGTCTCCCCGCGCGCGTCTCGCACTGCGCGGGGCTCGTCCCCCCGCGCGCTTTTCGGAGATTCCGACCGACCACGAGCGTCGTCGACGGGAGAAAAAGAGCCGTGGGGTTTGAGACGACGCGACCTCTCGAGGTCGCAGAGAGGCGCGCGCGCCGCTCGCGGACGCTCGCTCGACCTCCGCGAGTCTTCGCGAAGTCGTCTACACCGCGCGCGCGAAGAACGCGGCGCGGCGCGGAACCGACGCGCGCGGATCGCGGCGCGGATCTGAAGCGCGGCGAGAGGGCGCTCGCTTTTCGTCGGCGCGTGTTAGGTACGCGCGGCGAGCGGATCTCTCTCGAGGAGGCGAGAGCGCGCGATGGCGGCCGCGATGGCGACGACGTCCGCGACCGCGCTCGTCGCGTCGCGACGCGCCGCGACGGACGCGAGCGCGCTGTCCTCGCGCGACGCGCTCCGCGCCGCGCCGCTCGCGCCCTCGCGCCGTCGTCCGGGGGGCGCGGCCGCGATCTTCTTCCGCTCGGGGGGGCGCGCGTCGTCGTCGAACGCGTCCTCCGCGACGACCGCGTCCGCGTCGAACGCCGCCGGCGGCGATCCGTGGTGGAAACCCCCGGCCACGCCGCGCGCGGCGGGCGCGACCGAGCCTCGCGCGGGCGCGGGCGGTCTGTCCAGGAGCGCCCCGCGCGCGACCGGCGGCGGCGTCGTTTCGGGCGCCTCGGAGAGAAGCGGCGCCGCGGAGCGAAGAAGAGCGCCCCCGCTCGCGGCGCCGGGGGCTCCGTCTCGCGTCGCCGACTACACCCGCTCCGGGGGATCCTCAGAGTCGACCG